ATTTTAAGTAATTTTACTTTATTTAATTGTCCAAGATTGTCCAAAGTATTGTCCAAAGCTGTCCCATGACAACACTGCATATATATATATATATATGTATATAGTATATATATTATTTTTATGATATATACTTGTTTATAACAATAAACTTCATGATTTAATATTTAGAGTATCTTAAGAGAATTATTAATTAATTACTGAAAGCCATGTGATTCTGTCAGTAGGTTTTGTGGTAATAACCAAACCCCTATGTACTATGTTTGAGGGATGTTTAGTTGTCAAAATTTGTATTTCGATTATAACATCATGTGGACACATTGTGCATATAATAATCAGGGTAATAGACACTTAAAGATGTTAAAAGTCTGGTCCAGTCCAGTGAGTAAGTTTTAATCTAGACTCAGTCCTAAGTCAGACTTGGGACTAAGTATAAGAACACTGAAAATTAAGGATTCATAAATTTTAAGAATAATTTATAATTTTGGGGATAAATTTTATGTATGATTTTAGTGGTTTGATTGGTTACAAATCATGTGTTTATTAATTTCTATTAATCTGATTGGTTGTGTTCATATGATTCAAAATTTTGAATGACAAAATTTTGGGCAATAATTCAAAGTTATATAAATTATATAACATGGCCCAAATTATGAAATTTAATTTCTTAATACTGGCTAAATCCAAAGTTTTTTGTATTATTCAAAAAAAATTTATTTATAATTCAAAAAAAATTGGCATACCTAACCAAGTCCTAGTAATCTTATAGTAGTTACATGATTTTGTAATTTTATTAAATACAATCAGCAATGATTAATATAATCTGTCACAAATATTATGTATTATTATGTATATAATTATAGTAAAACCTTTCCAAGTGCATATTCTTGAAACCAGGCTATAATATAACATGTTTGAAGTATTTAAACCATAAAATGAAAGCTAAAAAAAAAAATATAAAGATCAAATTTTAAGTAATACTTGCAAGCAAAAAGAAAATGCTATAAAATCTAAAAAATTTAAATATATAGTTTATAAAAAGCTTATAGATATTAAAGCAGAAAGTAATATATATGAATCTTGAGATGGTTGTAGATATTTTTCAAATAATTAATAAATTAGAAGTAAATGACACTAAAAAAGTTTTTGCAAGTTCATCAACACTTAAGATCTGTGAAAAGAGTGATGGTTATTTATATATAAAAAATACAATAATAAACAAATAAAGACTACTTCATTTATTTATTAGTATAACTATTGCTATGAATTTGAAAAAAAAAACTGATAAAAGTAAATAGAGAACCAAGAATTAAATATTATAATTGTAAAAGAATTATTATTATTAAAATTACTTTACAAAATACTTTAGCATTTTTTTTTTTTTTTTTAAGGTGAGGCCTTGCTCATATCTTTATTGAGTAATTTATATAAGTAATTACATAAAATTTATGAAGAACTTAATTTGTATGATAAATAACTGTGAAAAATAAGCTAAACATAATAGTACATAATGAACAGAGTTATGAGGACCAATCAAATGCCAAGAATTGCACACATTATTTAACTTGCTTGTAAATGATAATATAAAATTATTTGATAAAAATCCTTTCTGTTTTAGTCTAAAAGAAACTGTGGTGAATTACAAGTAAATATAGCCAATAATCAAGGCATATACTTATTTGCACTGGTGCTACAAACCTAAAAAGAAAAATTTCTATGTAGACTGCAAGATCAGGTGTACTCTTTGTATAATGTGATATTGAAGGTTTTTTCAAAAAATCACTAGTAATACAAAATTTTGTTTATAAAATTGCCTTTTATACTCTAATCAAAAAAATTTCTTACTAAATTTTACTATATAATTCACTTTATTCTAGCTCTAACCCTAACTCTAATGTTGGTCTAATTTCACATATTATTTAACAAAAATAAAAACAAATAAATAGCTATTATTTTCACATAAATTGTAATATAAATCTATAAACAAGACGATTTATGTCTAATCTTAACATTATTAGAAACGATCTGATAAAAAAAGATAGGAGTGAGTTGATTCTATACTCTGAATTTTTTATTTCAAATATACAAACTATTAATCAATATAATATGTATAAAAAAAATAATTCAAACTTATTAATAAGGCCAGACCAACTAGATTCTGTGCTTTACATTACTCCCTAGCATTCCTCCCTCAACATTCCCCCTCTCCCTCATAGTAAAAAATTTAGATAAATATACATAGGGGTACGGGATATTTCGGAAAATTTTTATACAGTCACAGAACAATTCGGAAAAGGATTTAAAATTTTACTATGTAAACCACAAATTCTCCACTTATAGTTGTTAGACAAAACTATGTAATGCTAAATATTACATATAATTATTTAATAAAAACTAGATTAAATTTTTAGATCTTGGTATTTTATAACAGGTGATGATTATCATCACATGGTTTTATCTAACAACTATAGATTCTCCACCTTCCCCCTCTTCCGGAGAAGAGAGGGAGTAATGTAAAACACAGAATCCAGTTGGTCTGCCTAATTTGACATTATAATCATTTCTTACTAATCTATGCAATTAGATAAAAAACTCCCTTGGCATTCATCTTTTAACCTTGTTTTACTTAAAAATGCAAAGCCCTATCTTTTTTTTTTATAAATACAACATGAATTCGATAAAAATATTTGGGGAACAGTACTAGAACTGTACGTACGCACATACAAGAACAATCACTATATATAAAAAATGGTGGAATAAACAATTTCCTTTTGGATAAAATGGGCAATGTGGCAGCTCACGAGGATACACCAAAATATTAATTGGCAAATCAAAATTTATAAATTTAAGATCAACACAAACAAAATGTTACTGTCGTTAATTTTTTGGAATGGATTCATTTTTTATAGTTGGATCGTAGGACTATAATAAAAGAGCGTAAGAATCTTAGTAGGTTCATATTTTTATATAGACTCTCAAATTCAAGTTTCAGCAGTTTTTAGTTTCAGCTGTGAAAAATATTATACGATATAAAAAATCATTCTAAAAAGGAAATACGTATATTATAATCCATTAATAGGCATGATAATTCAGAAATTACAAATTCTTTTTTAATTTTTGAACCGATCTGGTAATTAAATAATCAAATAACTAGACTACTTAAGTAAGCACTCAAATAATATGTAATTATTTAAAATATTTACATTATTTATGACATATTAATAATTATTGTATAAAGATTAACATTGTTTATAAAGTATTATTAATTAATATATATATGACGATAAATTTCTTTATTTAGTTGGACAAAAAAAATATATCTAGCTTACAGTATCGTAGTACATAAATCAAATAATAATAATACGGAATAATAATAAACCTTTATTAAATATACTTTTATTTATACGATTGTAAAAAATTTAAAGTATTTTTTATAAAAGTTATTAAACGTTAATTTTTTAAATTGTGGAAAAATTCTTAACTAAACTTAATTTCTTAATGTTACATAGTCGGATTTTTATTCGAATTACAATAGAAATTATATTGTAAAAAAAAAAAAATTAACCGTTCACTCTAGAATTAGATTTTCGATAACATATTAGATTTTACCACTCGAAAAATTAAATTATCATTATAAATAACATTGGATTTTGCCAAATTTCGTATCAGTTATTTAAATAATGCATTATTGTGATCATCGTGTAACGTGAAGGGATTGAAAGTTTAATAATCGACTCTTGTATATTGCCATAGAGTCAATAGTTCGATTCTCGAATACGGATCTTTCCCTATTAGCGCCTCGAAATTGTCGTGAAATCATCGAAGTAGGATTATGTTGTATATCCGTTGCCCAGCTATCTAACATCCCACATAGTTCTACAATATTAGGACGTTTTTCGGGATTTTGATGCCAGCATATTTTCATTAGAGATAAGTATACTTCCGGAGTATCAGTAACGATTTCTGGTCGTAAACCATTACATATGCGTGTTGCAAGATCAAGGTCATGAGGATCTTTACAAAATGGGCGTTCGCATTCTGATAAAGTCCACATTATAAAACCAAAGCTATATATGTCTGATGCTTGTGTACAACTATTACCTCTTAATACCTCAGGTGCAACGTAAGGCAAGACACCATAAATGTTAGAATTCGTTCTATCTGCAGGACCATATAAACCGACGTCTGTGATTACTGCATT